CCACAATAAAGCTTTTTACTGTTAAGGTGGTCAGGTATGGTTAGAAGACACAACCTGTTTGCACATGCCACCAATGAATATTTTCCCACAAGACCCACACATCAGTGCACGTGTTAAGAGCTCTGGCTGGATCCTTCCTTGTGCACAGTCCTGCTAGGTTGCTTTTTATCAGCTTTTTCAGAAGTGTGGCATTTCTGGCTGATGCCATCAAGATATTCTGGTGTATCTGGAAGGGCTGGCCTGTCCCCTGTAGCAGGAAAAGCTTTCTGAAAATCCATCTCTTTGATTAAGCCCCCTGATGTAATTACCATACAAAGCCTGTTTTGTCACTGACAACAGGCATGTTGAGAGGAAACAAGGACTCCAGGGACTTTTTCATTTGGCACACAGAGGGAGAAAGGTGAATAAATGTTTTCTTGGTGTTCAAGGGAAAGACAGAGCTGTAGTCTCAGGTTCTATAAGTCTGTGCAGGTTCATTAACCTCAGTCCATTTACAAAGTTCAATGTAAATAAAACAAGACATCCCCAAAATATTTAAAATGCTAAAAATAATAAGTGGTTTATCAGAAATAATAGAAAAGACATGCTGTTCTTGTTGTCTGCCTTTATAAGAATGTTATTTGCTGTCTACTTTGTGTGGGAGATTTTAGTGCTCTTGCTCTCTAGGAGACTTATTTGGTATTAAGTTTTCCGTTAGTTTCTCTGTTACCTTAAATATCTCAGCATCAGTTTATTGACACCATATTAAACTAATTTGTTCTTAATCTTTTGTAGTAACTCAAACATTACTATTTGGGTTTTATATTGCTGGAGAAGAGACTAGAGGTGAAATTATTCTATCCAAATATAGATGTTGACAATGTAGATGTCAACATATGAGCTAGCTGTTAAGAATTCCTCTATACTCAAGGGATAGGAGTTGAATGTTTAAAGTAGACAGCTAAAATAGGTCAGACAAATTGCTTTGTTCCTATGTCTACTTCCTTGATTTTATAAAAAGAGACTTGACAATGAGCTCATATATGAGTACATGTCTTCTAGATTTCTAAACTTAGCTGACAAGACCTAGGTCATTGGAGGGTTACTTCCCTGTCTGTGTTTATTTCTTGCTTGTGTGAGTCTCAGTTGACATGAGAGAGGTTCACACCATGTTCTTTAATATATATTAGGAAGATGACATTGGGGTAATTTTGGAGGGAGATGATAAAATGCTTTGAATTCCACACCTTATATTGACAGCCTACAGGTGATAAACGATGTATCAATTATATAACCATCTGTTCATATCTAAGCCAATGATGTTCATCAGGCAAAAGCCGTGCCAAAATCACCCATGGAGTTCCCTTCCCTGGGGAGAACTCAGAAGCACTGATGGAGAGGTGTGAGGGCCAAACTGGTGATGGCTGGAGTATTCTTGGTTGCTTCTTTTACACATCATCATTCTCCATCCGTGGTGTATTCTGCATAGAGGAATACTCCTCATGCCACTGAGAAGTGCTGAGATCACTCTGCATGGAATGTGTGACTCTGCTGCAAAGCAATTTGCAGAACTGTGATTGATTTTGCATGTCTCAGAACCTTTCAGATTTCTGCACTTGTACTGTTCCCATATGGTGCAGGAGAAGGATGAGATGGGCAGTCCTAACCAGATGCTGAATTAAGATTAATTAAGTGAAGAATTCACATTTCATCACCTCTGGTCAAGGCCACTGTTGGTCAGCTCTGTAATTTGTTGCTTTCCTTTCAGACCTCTGGCATGCATCCTGGAGGTCCATAACGAGGAGCCTAGCAGATCTGATTTTTCTTTTGGGTGAGATCTCAGTCGCAGCTCATAACTGCTTCATATAGTGACTGAAATCCTCTTTCATTCATCCTGCATTCATTTGAGCTACTGTATAACAATTTTATCTATTACTCGGTATGGTGAGAACTCAATCTTTACAGATGTGATCCTTGTATACCTACCTGTGAGTAGGCGCATCCTACTTGGGTTGGCACACATGGCACTTCTTACCAGCATTTAGGCTTCTGTAACATGTAGTCCGTGTAAGCCCTAGGGACACTCGAGTCCTTTTTTAAACAGAAGAAAGAAATGGCCACTAGCAGCAAAACACGTTGACAGAGCTCTTCCAAACTTCTCCTTAAGGACTCATTATTCCTCACAGAGTAACATGAAGAATTTGCTGTGGCATGGAAAACTTTTGCAGTGGAGATATGAATCTCTTTCACAGATGGTGTATGACTTTCCTAAGCCATCAGTAGACCCCCAACAAGTCTTTTGTAATCCCCGTATTTCAGCTGTGCTTGAAATAATTCTCTGAAGCCCTTTAAGGATTGTATTTTTTCCCTTCATGTGTGCAACCCTTGTGCTGTGGGCTATTCTGGCTTCACAGATTTTAATTACGGTAGCAGATGCAGATAAAACAACAACATGAAGCAGTAACATCTCCAATTTACAAATGAAACTACGTGATGCAGCTTTATGAAGTCTTTTTGATCATTCAGACTTTCCTTTCAAGCCTTGTATTCATATTTTTATTTATTCTCGCAGTACTGAATGGAGATGGAAATGCTTCGTAGACATTGTCCCTACTTCTGAAAAGTTTTTCTCGTAATGATTGGCTGAATGTACTTATTTGTGAGTTAATTATCCTTCTGTTGCTAATGGGTTGACTCTGCACCTATGTGTGATAAACACAACAGGAGCTGTTGCACATTATATTCAGATTTCTCTGGAGGTCCAGGGCACAGGTTCATAGGCCTGGTTGCTATTATCTAAAAAAATGCTTGGGCTTCTGTGGATGACACAGAGACCTCAGTCCAGTTCTTGATGTGGGTTTCCATGACTACCTTGAAGGCAAAAAAAAATGAAGCTGATTCTTTTTCTCTGTAAAATGTCAAAGAAACACAGCAAAATGGTTAGCAGATGTTCTCACATCTTCAGAAATTTCTTTGAAGCTAACAGAAAGAAAATAGAAGGCAGCCTTTTTCCACTCTTCTAACCTAGTGAATGCCAGGTTAAAGTAAAGCTGGATCTTCAACCATTGGAAAGAGTGTATTCCAAGGGTTACCACTTTACCACAGGTTATCCTTCCATCCATTTAGTCAACCATCTCCCACTCTTCCGTTGCATTTAAGTCTTGTTTTTGACTCATTACAGTGGCAGAATCCAAGGACAAAACTCAATCTCCACACCATTCTCTGGCCTTTCTGGCTGGAGTTGCAAATTATCAAGAAGTAATTTCAAATCCAAATGTCTGTTAATGTGGCTGCCTGGTTGTCTGTTGCTTCTGTTAATGCAGAGACTTTCTTTTTCCGTCTTTTCACTACTGAATGTCACCATGGATGTATTCTCCTCCTCAACTGAGATCTTATCAATCCTTCATTATTTGATAAACCATCAGAAATGCAGTTAAATAATTAAATTCAGTACCAGAGTGGACTGAGAGTGACTGATCGAGTGAGGATGGAAGAAGGCAGATCAGAGAGAATTTTATGAATCATTGTTCTCCATTTAGTCAGAGTCTGGATAGAGAAGACAAAAATCTAAAGAGAACTTAATTTTCTGTTCTGTTTTTTTTAATTGAAAGACTCTGCTTTCTAAATGCTGATATCTTGGCTGTATGTTGCAATTAATATAAAAATGGAGTACCCACTGACTGAAAGTTCTTTCACATTTGCTTTTGGCACTCCTTTATTTACTTTCTGTCTTTGGTCTGTTTTCTTTTCAGCCTTTTCTCTTTTTTTCCCACATTCTGATTTTTAAGTGTTTTATTGTTTCTGTAGTTGTTTACATGTCCTGTACCTATGAGGGTTTTTTTTTGTTTTTGTTTTTGTTTTTCCATTCTCAAACATTTACTTACCTCTATAAACATTTCTCTTATTAGGAAGATGTCAGTCATGTTTATGCCTGCATAGGTGATGAATGGTGGTGTATAGAAAACCCGCATCACACAATAAGAGTTTAAAAAGCACCTCTGCATTCAAAGTTTTCATTTACAGATGTAAACAAAATATATAAGAGTAGTTCTCTGTCCCTGAGACAAACTGGTGTGGCACAGCTCATGCCCAAGGGCTAAACTCCCATACCTTCCTAAGAAAACAAATTGTGTCTAATCTTCTGTAGGCAGAAGACCTTGAAGTGAGTTCATCTTAGAGGAAAGCGGTCTATAAGGTAGAGTTAAAATGAAGGGGTTCCATCTCAGGTAATGGGCAAATTCATTTTAAAACATGATGGTAGGGCATCAAGGTGAGATCTCTAAGCCTAAGAGCACAATTCATTCCTTCCCATTCCTCTTACTTCAAAAAGCTCTCAGATTCTTTACAACTCTTGGCATGAATTTTGTTATCTGGACCAGTGATCTTTGAGAAGAAATCACCAAGTTGTACAGCCTCTTAAAAAACCCTCAGTTGTGATTTTGAGCCTTTACTGAAATTAAGAAGGTCAAGTTCTTTACAGAAGAGCGGTGAGGTGCTGCAACAGCTGCCCAGAGAGGCTGTGATGCCCCGTCCATCCGTGGAGGTGTTGGAGGCCAGGTTGGATGGGGCCCTGGGCAGCCTGGGCTGCTGTGAAATGGGGAGGTTGGTGGCCCTGCATTGGTGGGGGGTTGGAGCTTCGTGATCCTTGAGGTCCCTTCCAACCCAAGCCATTCTTTGATTCTGTGATTCTGTGAAATCGTGATTGCAGAAATGAAGCATACAGACCCTCTGACCAGTTCAAAATGTTCCATTATTCCTTCCCTATAGATACAATAGAGCTGCTGTTAGAGAATCTCTTCCAGCACTTTCTATGATGCAAGCTACTGATCATACAGCCATGTTCTTTGGCTTCAAATTTAATACCCTAGATGATCTGTAATAACAGCAAACCAGACAATTATGACTGACCTCTGATATATGTAACTCAGTTCAAGTGTTGTAGTCTCTGCTTTCTTTCTGTTTCTTTCTTGTACCTCTTCCATGTTTGTTATATTCATAATCATTTTTCTCTTTCACTGCAGAGGTTTGAGTCTTGACATGAAGACACTGACAAGAAGATCTGCAGAGAGTGTGTACTTCAGCCCTAATTATCTCTGTTAGAAGCTAAGCTTGACTAAAGATCAAAGTCAAGAGACAAAGATGGCCATCTGTTGGAAGAACTGCTTCTTCACTCTCATATTGCTTCCCATGGTAAGGATTGTTGTTCTTTTCTTACTTACACTGCCATTATTTAAATATGTGTTCCCAATAGTAGCACTTGCTAACAGTGAAGGTTCTGAGCTCTGGTTTTGTTTCTGTGTGACCGAATGGATTCTATTAAGCGTTCTCTAGCTTCCTTTGTTGATGAAATTGGACTGCGAAGCCTTGAGGTATCAGCCAATACTTTTGGTTGCCTCCATTTTCATATGGTCAGTGTTCAGAAAACGTGCAGGTGGGCCTTAAAGATAGTGGCACTCCAACTCGTTAGTCACTCTGATGAAGATATAGGGCTTTTTATGAACAGGACAGGGATTTATTTGGGATGTGAATCTTTAGTGACCAAATAATGTGCTATCCTTTGAATTGCTCAGTCCTAACACGTGTCAGGGGATTGATCATATTAGTATATGCTTGCCCACTGCCCCCATCTGCATTGTGTCTCTATCTAGCCTCCTATAAAAACTGTAAGAACATAGAATAAAGCATGTTTTTTGTTTTTTTTTTTTGCACTTTGCAACCATAGGCAATGGTATACAACCTGTATAATAAATCCATCTTGCATTTCAGCTCAGCCCTTGGCTGGATCATTGATCATAACTGCTTTTCATTACGTCTCAGGAAGCATTTCACAAAGGAATGCTGTGAGAAACAGCACTACTACTTAAATGCTCTATCTGATTCTTATTAAAAGGTTTCTGTTGCTTCCATACAAACGTTTTGCAAATGCCTATTACTCTTTGCTATCCAAGTGTAGTATCTTAAAACATTATTGAAATAAATTTTGGTTTTATTTTTAAGTAAGAATTGCTTAAATTCTTAAATTGTGATGTAACCAGAGTATCTTTTAACAGTATTTACAGTTTCTTGCTCATGCATATTGACTGTGTAACTTTGCAATGTGAAAGAGTCAGCATATTGCACTCCTCTTAATTTTGTCACACACGAATGCACATTCTTTCCTCTCGGGTCTTATTTAGAGGCCACGTTAATTGACTACAAATCTGAAGTGTAGCATTATTCAGATATATTATTTAGAATGAGAATGTTCATCTAAATAATTTAGCGCCTCACTTTATAAATACCTGACATAATTTCTTTTTTTTCCCCTCATATGTTGAGCATTCTATTACTTAACTTCCTTGGGCAGGTAGATGGCATTATTTACAGCAGTCCCTTAGGAGCTCCCACCTTACTGCTAAGCCTAGGACAAGCTCAGTGTTGATTCAGGAATGAATGTCAATGAGATACATCCTATGTTAGGTGAAATTGGAGAGCAGATTGGTAGAGCTGCTGTATTTCTGGGTAAGAAATCACATCTTTCAGACTGGAACAAACTCATTTATGTGATCATGTGAGTTGAAAGGCAAAAGGATTTTTTTTAATGGCCAGTGATCTTTGGCATTTCAAGATTATTGGCGTCCAGCTTGAGACAGACAGCAGGTATCTTCTTACTTAGAAGTGAACTATTTTTAATTAAGGAAAATAAATGCGTCTGAATGTATTTCTTGAGCTTTTAGAAGATGGATGACCTTCCTGGTGAATGTAAAAGGACAGCAAGCTTCCAGTTCTTAGCATTTCAGGACATAACTGTGATTGCTGAGCTGGATAATTAGCGATCTGCTCCAGCTTCTGGACTGAACAGCTCCCTAATGAAATTCTGTGAAGCAAACCAGAGTTAGTAAGAGTGAGTATGGTTTTGTACGTGAGGTTACTTTTTTATGACTGCAGGACTTTCTCATAATCTCTAGGAAGCCAGGTAATAAAATTAGTGATTCCAAAGTGAACTTGTGTATATGCATACACACTTCTTTGGTCAGGGAAGGGACTCAGTCCTGTGACAGATGTGGTACCTTAATTTGTGTGTAGTATACATTCTTTTACAGTTTGTTTTGAAGGACAAGAGGTCAGGAATGGATAATGTTATGTATGGTTCTTCCTTTGCTGAGAGTTTTTATCATGCTTATCATGGTAACGTTTTCCCTCTGTTGAGTCTTGCTTTCTTTTTGAACCATCTCTGATATGCTGAGCCAATGTCCTTAAATTGATACCATTCTATCATGCAGATATAGAGATTTTCTACAAAATGGGTGAGAATGAAAAGCTTGAGTCAATTTGTCATCTCATCCTCTAAAGGATTCCTTAAAAAGTTTTCTTCTGTCTTCTCTTACCACACCTGGTACTGTTCAAGAGATCACCATTTACTTTCAAGGAGAGCTGTTTTTTATGGCTGTGGGTTAGTTCCATCCCATGAGCTCCTGAATCTGTGCAGTGGCTTGGATGTGCAGTTTTTGCTTTCAACAATTGATTGTCCACCCAAACTAAGGTCCACAATCATGAAAAGGTCAAAGAAAAAAGGCAAAAAGTGTCCTGATGGAATGTTCTAGGTGCCCTCAGTTCTAGGGCCAGATCAAATCCCAAGAAAGTACTATATGTATAAATATTTAGACATGGCCATATATAGACATGGACAATTATCAGAGATTAGGGTGGTTTCTGGTATGTTTAACAAACTTTAATATTTGCTTGCTACAAAGGTATTCCACCTTCCTATTTACTGCCTGGGATTTAAAACAAGATCTGGGGGAGTGGGACCTGTTAGGTCTGTAGAGAAAACTCCTTGACAGCAAATTCATAAATCTACTTTTTTCCCACTTAAAATGTTTTCCTAACTAAAATCCATTTTGATATTTTAGACGTTTTTAGTCCTTTTGTTGTTGTTGTTAGCTAGGGTGCTTGTTTTCAGTGCAAAATTGCACTGCAGCTACATCATTTTCTGTGTTCTGTCTTTCGTTTGTACATCCGTTTTTTTTTTACCTCATTTATTTTCATTCTGAATTCATGGAATCATAGAATTGGTTGAGTTGGAAGGGACCTTTCAGGGTCCAACTCCCCTGCAGTGCACAGGGACATCCACAGCTCCATCAGTGCTCACAGCCCCATCCCCTAACCTTGAGTGTCTCCAGTGATGGGGCATCACCACCTCTGTGTGCAACCTGTGCAGTGCCTCACCACCTTATTGACAACAGCTTCTTCCTTACATCCACTCTAAATCTTTCAGTTTGAAACCATTTCACCTTGTGCTGTCACTGATACTGTCTGTCCCCTGCATTCTTATAGCCCCCCATTCACTGCCACTTCACTGTATTTCTCATTTCATTCAGTTGTGATAGCAGTAGGCATGGTGTTTTTTTGTTTGTTTTTATTTGCTTGTTCTGTGTGTTTGTTTTGTTGTGTTTTTTTTTTTTTTTTTTAAACTGGAAATATCAACAGAAGTCATCAAAATTAGTGAAGAGATAGGATCCTAAACCGAGGTTCCTTTGTCTGGTTCCAAATGTACTTGAGAAACAATGAAATTCATGACTCACAAAGTTGGCTTAGTGTATGAACTGAATTTTAAATGTAACTGCAATGCAGGTGTTCCAACTGTCTGAAATAATTCAGTCAGTTGCATTTCTTCAGCTAATGCTTGGAAATTCTTGTGGATGCATCTTTAATATCGCTAAGCTTAAGGTTTCAAATGAGAAGATGCTTCTTGCAGTGTTTCGTTAACTGGTGAACTTATTCTCAGTGGCCTTTACAGACTTTTGGGGAAGTCTTTTTAAAGGCTAAATAAAAAGGGAGAGATGAAAAGAGAAAGGTGTAAGTGACGTCCCTTGTATACAGGCACTGGAATTCAATCGCTTTATGGGGTGAGGTGAGGTGGATGTGTAGGCAGCATCTCACGGATCAGAGAGCCAGATCCTGAATGGATTGTTTCCCCATTCATTAGGAGATGAGGAGAGAAACTAATTACGTTTACTGTGATAGTGTATCTCAGCTTTTCAAGGGTTTGTATTCTACAGTGAAGAGAACTTGCTGTATTAGTCCTTATCTGTGGCTGTCCTTTCCAGTGCTAGGCTACATTCAAGTAGGACCATCTATATTTCAGTCCCTCTCATTTTCTAAATATGAGGAACTATGTATAAAGACACATTCACCGGTTCTGCTTCTGCTATGATTGTTTGAATATCTGTAGCCTAAATGAAGGGTTCCATTCCCAGTGGGGGCAGAAACGTGTATGGTTGTGTTGGGCTCTGCTCTTTAGACAACGTTTTTAGATGTTGTCTTTAGACGTCTTTAGACAATCTTTTTTCCATTTAAGACTTAATGAACTGGCATTTAATGAGTTTATTGGTCTTGTGATTTGTAAGAGCTCATGATCCTGTTAGAAAAGGAAAAATTCTCTGCGGGAATACAGCAGTCTTCAACGTGATGCTCTGTTGCATGGGAATTGTCTCTTAGGGAAAGCAGCGACTCCTTATACGAACATGGCTGGGAATGTCCTCCAGAGGAGGATCTCTTCAAAGCCTAAGACTTGTTCAAAAATAATAAAATGAAAAAAAAAGGTCTTAAGATATGTCACACTGGGTAAGGTAGTTTCAAAGATATGGCTAGAATTTGTTGTAAGCTCTGTCCCAAAGATATCAGAGGGGTTCTGTGTTACATAATGGCAGCAGTGCCCTTCAAACAGCCCAACTTCAAGCACTTCATAGAGGAATAAAAATTAGGATCCTGGTTCCAGATGGTCCTTACCCTGTCAGCAGGTGGGATGAATACTTCCAGAAGGTGACTGATTGCGCCTGAGAGCTCAATAAATCTCTTAGTTTCTCAAAGAGAGCTTCATGTGTTGGCACTCCAAGGATGCCTAGGGCTGGTAGGGGCCCTTGGCATTACATCGTTGCTCTGTCTCCTATGCTGGCACTTGAAATCTCACCCCAGGGGCTCCAGCTGTTAGTTAGGATTATTGCAGAAGCTGAAGAAAAACACACTTGGTTAAAATGTTTGAAAGCACATTAAGCTTATAAGCACAAAATGTGAAAGACAAACAAGAACAAAAGTAAAAAAATGAATTTTCTACCTACTTTTTTCACAATTACTACACACGCACACACATCCATGGGTAATATTCCTTATTTAAGCAAGTAATCTATCCAGGTCTTAGAAATGCACAG